GTCTGTGTGTCTGTCTGTCTGTCTGTCTGTCTGTCTGTCTGTCTGTCTGTCTGTCTGTCTGTCTGTCTGCCTGCCTGCCTGTCTGTCTGCTTGTTTGTTCGTTTGTACGGAAATTCGATAATACCTGAAGAAGCACCTGTAGAAGTTAGATCAAATTGGAATGGGTTAGGCATTGGGCAAGGCTAACGGAGCACATGTGAGTTCAGCGGAGGTCGGCCCACAGGGGGCTGGGCACGCACGACAGTGGGCGGTGTCTTGAGCAGTTTGAGTGAATTATGTTTTGAAACGGCCCAGACGGTGGAAAAATTGGGCAAGGGTCAGGGATGGGACACCAGGTGAAATGAAAGAGGCTCGCCGACGGTGGGCGGAGCATTCTCGCATTCAAGCATGCATTCAAGTGTTATGACTTTTTTGAAAAAACTCATTATTTTGTTCGAAAACGTTCCACAACGTGGAAAGTAAGAAGGTAAAGGAAAAATATTGTCAAATTCCTGAAGTGGGCGGAGCTTGCATTAGGGTGTGTGAGGCTAAGATAAAATTTTTCAAACTTTCGGACTTTCTTTAAGATCTGAAACTTTGTCGAGATCTTGAAGATCATTTATATTTTTACGATTCGTGGCGACATTTGTAATAAAAATGTTCCTGTACTGTTTTTTCAATACTTAGAATTGGATGGTTTGACTGCCTCACCTTGTATATGAAGCCTTTGCAAGATTTAAATATAATTTTTCCATTACGGCAGAAATGAAATAAGAACGCGAACAGCATTTCCATAATCGGCACATTCTTCACTTTAGACTGTTCTCCTTTTTCTTAACTATCTGAAACCTGTAGCTGGTTTCTGCACATAAGTAACTATTCGTTAGGCGGAAATGAAACACATCTCGTTGATATACTGCTACTCTTTCAAATTTTGTTTGGACAATGAGGCCATCCTTTTGATATCAGGCTCCGGATGTAGTCCCAAACTGGAACACAACAACAAAGAGCGTCATTGTGAGTGTTACTTCTCGGCGAATGTGACCACTGCAGTAAACCGACATTACGAATAAGATTGAATTGTTCCAGAGATTATTGGCATATCCTTTTATTGTAAAAAACTGGTTATCTAGATGCTGCTGGCATGCAGGCCAGTAGCCACAGTCTTATTTTTATTTGAATTTGTACTGAATCGTTAAAGGTCGTTTACAGCTTCGTGATAAGAATATGGCTATACAAAGAAAACTCAAATGGACTACTCAGACTATTCATCGCGTGTTTTCTCCTATCGATGAAACTCTGTTTGAGGTGTTTTCTCGTTTTTGTTTCATATTTTTTGTAAACCTCATTCATTTTTTTTAGCATGTGGTGCACACAGAACCTCATTTTTGCCTATTTTTCTCATTTTTTAACCACACATTCTTATGTTATTGTCCAGCTGAATATAGTCTCATGGAACTTCGAAATATACCCTTTGTAAAAACTCGACCCCAATATTAATTTTATTCAATCGACGATGTTGCTAAGAAACACTTATTCGATATCTAAAAATTCTCATCTTACGCGAAAAATACTGACGTTTTCAAAGTGCACCGTGGCCGTTGGAATTAATGCAACATGAAATTTGGTTCCCGAAATTAGCCTCACCATGCGAATGTCCTGCTAGATACGGTGCAATGCTTGCGCTGAACTCTGGTTGAATATGGTTCTGCCGATTTCCATTGAAGTAGGATTATCGTCAAACGGCATTACGACCGGATTTGGCTTTGTGTTCAATCCCGATTTGGTACCTGCTCAGAGTGACTGAGAGGTGTTTTACCTATTATGAATCTTTGCATTAAGACCCAAATATATCGATCAAGTTTTGAGTGCTATTACGAATATGCAAATAGAAACTGCGAAAAAGCCCCGCTTAAAAAAGTTGTAAGGGCTAGAAAATTCGCTTTGGAATGGTGTAAATTGCGCTTCGATATCAAGCGCAAACGTGGCGAAGTGACAAAGGCTTCACAGACGGAGGATGCTGGTTTGCTACCCGCTATCGTTCTGATTTTTGTGCAATGTTTTTTTGTTCGATTAGAGGCTTCCAAAACCTTTTCTGACATTTGGTCAAGTGATATCCTGATTTCTGCTCTCATTTGCGCTCGTCGCTCCTATTCAAGGAAGAATGGTTTTGCCCGTTGTTTGTATGACTCCACATATTTTGATTTGATCATCGAGAGACGAAGAGATCTCAAACATGTATAAGAGCTTAAGGGGCTGAAAGGGATCAAAGACAAATTGGATAGCAGTAGAAAGACTAGTATTTTCAAACGGGCCAATCAATTTGTTCATTTTCGACTGGATCGTGATCCTGAATCACCCACAAAAAAGAAGAGAATTGAGCAGTGCTTAACAAAATTTTCGGTATGGCGGATTGTCACGCAGAGGCTTCACTGCAATACCACTGAAGTGCAGCAATCTCACTTCCTTTCTGTTCTCAACAGACAGTGCAAGGTTAATAAATGGAGGAGGTCGCTTACTCATTTAAGTGGGACACTCATACCTTCATCGTCTCCTCTGACAAGGAAGTTTTTACGGCAAAAGCGATCTTCAGCAAATAAAGCCGTGACGTTCTGGATGAAAACACCGAACCACAAATCATAAACATCGAATCTGGATAGAATCACTTCATAGGTTGTTATAGGAACATCAAAATGATGTTCATTGGGAAAGTCACGACCAATGGTAGGATGCACTTGGTTTAATCGTTACCGCCGGGAAAAATGACAAAGACATGTACCTGGAGATACGCAGATAGACAAACTGAAGCACCGACCCGACTACGGTTACTGAAACAAACTGCGGTTCTTTAGGAGGACGGTACTCCAGCCCTCAGAGGCAAGCTCGATCAAGAGTGGGAGCGACGCGAGCTGTACGACTTCACTGGCATGAAGGAATGACCATCCTGCTCTCTTTGTTAAAAAGCTCCTCCATATGATCCTTGCTTGGTAGGGGACCTATCGAGTTGTAATCCCGGTTTGGAGCTTTTGAAAGCAAACCACAGAAACGGCTGGAAAAAATGGAGGAGGGGTATTTGCAGCAACACATGGGCATCCGTTTCTGCGAATGGGGGATGTTTCGAAGGATGATTGTAGCTTGATGTTGCATATATATATATATATA